GACAGGTGAACATCCGTTTACCTTCCTGGGTCATCTTTAGGAAACTCAGGCTGATAAATTCAAGTACAGCATGCTTCAAATGGCTGAGCCAGAACCCATCAGCTTTCACCACTTTGGAAATGGCCCCCATCCAACTAAGGTTTTGAAAGTGAAAAATGTGAAATGACCCATGAGGTCAAAGTGCAGAGTAAGGGAAGGTCACTCATATTGTGCTGGAGTAGTGTGGTGGTTTTCCGTAATGGGCAGCTAAACACCAGAAACACTCTCTCACTCCCCCTCCTTAGATGAGGAAGGGAAGAAGTAAAGTAAAGAACAACTTACGGGTTGAGATATGGATAATTTAATTAAAGGGAAATAATAATAATAATTATTATTGTTGAGGAAAGATTATTATGAACTAAACTATTTATCTAAAGGGAAAAAAGGGGAAAGGGGAAAAGGGAGGGGGAAAGGGAAAGAAGGAAAACAAACAAACAAGACAAATAAAGGCTACGTGGAAGTGCAGAGGAAATAAATTACTCTGTACTTCCCACAAGTGAGCGATGCTTGACCACGTCCTTGAAGCAGGACCTCAACGCACGTAGCCGGTGTTCGGGAGGAGGACCAAAGTTTTCCCAGCAAGAGCCCACCCCTCCTCTCTGCTTCCTGTTTCCACCTTTTTTTGCTGAACCCAGTACAAGTAGCAGAAGGCAAAAGCATTGCATTGAGCCTCAGAATAATCAAGGAGACCTAATCCACTTCATCCATGAGAAAAAGCAGAGTGAAGGACGTTGAGTTGTGTCCTAACATGAAGAAGGATTACATCACTGGTAAAGGAACTCTCTTTTTGTGCTACCATCAAAGCAAATTACACAACAACTCTATCAAATAAAGGTAACCTGTTCCACAGTGGCGCTGTCACACCACAGGACAGAGGAGGGACATTTTTCAGTTTCAGTCTCTTTTTCAGAGAGGCTTTGCCCTCTTCCTGTTCACGATGGCGCAGATCCTGACCCTGGATGCTCCATGAGCACCTTGCAAGTCCTGGCAGGCTGTGGGGAGGGGATGAATGCTCTGGGCCCCCTTCCTGCTCTGCCCAGACCAGCAAAGGACTTGGTGGCTCCCTATACCTCCTTGATGCCACCACTCCTGTCATGATTCAAACCCAGGAAGCTGCTTCTCGACCAGTCAGGGTCTCCAGGGGCACTGGGCATCCACCAGTGGTGACTCAGTGAAGCCCTGACACCCTCACCCAGGACTCTGTGCCCCCATGCCCCTCTGTCCAGGTGGAACCCCAGTACAACACTAAGACCTTGAGCCTGATATTCCCTGAGCGTCTTCTGCATTCCAGTTTGGGAAGAAGAGCCCTGAGCACTGTGCAAGTTCCTTTTACTAACAGGATGCCAAAACAGAGACCAGGTGTCATTCAGGAATAAACACATTCCAAGAAAGCCTCTGGGTCACACAGAGGACTGGTCATCTGGAAAAGAGGAATGAAAGCAGACATCTAACTGGAAATATTTTAGTTATTAAATTTTATTAAACATTTGTTCTATTACATTTTAAAGAATGCTATACCTAATCATCACAAATTGCCTGAGATTAACTTGAGTAAAACCAGAAAAGTGAGATAGCCAATTTATTGCTATGTAAGTATTACCACTACAATCAGTTTCTTCAGTGTGGCTTTCAGGTCCTGGTTCCTCAAGCTGTAGATGAGGGGGTTCACTTTGGAGGCATCACTGAGTACAGAAATGAAACCACCATGTCCAAGGATGTGGAGGAAATGGAGGAGGGCTTCAGGTAGGCAAACAGGACAGTGCTGACAAACAGGGAGACCACGGCCAGGTGAGGGAGGCACGTGGAAAAGGCTTTGTGCTGGCCTTACTATAGAGACGAGAGGACTGTCACCTAGATCCACACAGTCTAATCCAAATCGACTGCTCCTACACGTGATAGCTGGGCTCTTGGCCTGGAGCCTCTCCTGGATGCTGGGACTGCTCCCGTAGCTCCAAAGAGAAGGGAAGAGAAGGAAACTGAGACCAATGAATTTCCGCTGACGTCTTTATTGTCTTTAACTACCAAGGAATCCTGGTTCTGTATGTACATTAGATGATATAGTAAAAACTAACACAAAACATAACATTCAGAATGTTAAGAATTAGATTATTAAAAACAAAATAAAATATTGTTCAAATATTAACAGAGAAAAATAATTTTTAAAACGTTGTCTCATTTTCCCAAATACCCTTTGTTTTCTGTTAGGATTGTTATTAATGGCAATGTTATGATAACACTAGTAACGATAAAAATGATATGATATAATATGAATCAAAATATTTGCATATTATTAAGAATACATCCTCTGAGCACATCACGGATGCTTAAGAAGCATGTATGGAAACAGTTTCCTCACTGCATCCTTGAGCTCCTGGTTCCTCATGAGAACAGAGATGGGTGTTTGCAGACTTCAAGGAAATTGGTCAAACTGTTGGACAGCAAAGGAAAGCCTGCAGACAACAAGACAGAGGGTGCTGTTAAGAAGGGTAGGCCCAAGCTACCCTGAGGTTTTTGTCCCCTTGGCTAGAGCTTATGAAGAGATATGATATATTCATTGCGATGAGGGCTCATGGATTCCTTTCAACCCTGTGCAGCAACTTGGATGTGTCATACCACTGTTCTTCTCATGGCATCACACTGCCCACCACATCCCACAAAACCCAGGAAGAGCCCTGAGCCAGATGTGGGGGTGCAGAATCTCCCCTCCCAGTGGCTGGGGTCAGGCCTTGGCTCTTCTGCTTCAACAAAACCAAAAAACACTTTTCTCAGCACAGAGCTTTGCCCATCTGTAATCATGGCTTCCAATTTTCCAGTTCCTGCCTTCATACGTCCCTGGAGAGGTTATGTTAGTAATAGCCCTCACTGGAACCCATTAATACTCCAAGTCACTTCAACTTCTGATTTGACTTGCTCAAGCGGTTACATCACTCTCCTCTCAGTACCTAAGCTTCATAGATTCAACACCAAAATACAACATGGACCTCATAAAAATGAAGGTCTGAACTTGGGTAGACCTGTGCGGTGTCAAGAGTTGGACTTGATGATCCTTAAGGGTCCCTTCCAACTCAGGATATTCTATGATTCTATGATTCTATGATTCTATGAAGAAGCTCCTAACATCTCTACCACAGTCTTCTTAAAGACTTCAAGATTTGTTCAGCTAATTGCAGAGCTTGCATGAAGTAGTTAAGGAAGATTTCAAAAAGCACCTAATCAAAAACTTCTTGTTTCAAAGTCTGAATTTTGCTGCATTTCAGTTTTGAGCATCATTCTCCTATTGCTCTTCATCCTGGCTGACTTCTTTGGAGACCTCCATCAGGAGGAAAAGCAGAGTCTGGAGGTCTGACACCTCCACTGCCAGCAGTGGTCTTTGTCACTGTAACTGCAGCCCAGCCCAGCACGTGATATCCTTTCTAAGACAAGTTAGGTGTTCTTTGGGAACAAAAATAAATATTGAAATAAAATAAAATAAAATAAAATAAAATATTAAAATAAAATTAAAATAAAATAATAAAATTGAAATAACCGTTGGAATCTGAGAAATTCAGCTTAAATCTTAGTAGACACCTGGACATCTATGGTCTCTCATGGGTCTTCTGTGGAAAACTCAGGAAGAAAAGTAAAAAAAATATATCTTCAAGTGGCTGTAGCTGTACCCATGAGCTTGGCCTCTTTTGGGAAATCATCTCCTTCGAGCCACAGAAACCTAAACTGAGTAATGTGAAAAGACCTGCCCAGTCAATAGAGTAGGACAAAGTCATGCTTCCTGTGCTATAGATGCAGAAGGCAAAAAGAATTGCATTGTGTTTTATACCTACTAGGAGGAAAATTAACTCTGTCCTAACCAGAACAAGGGTGCACTCTATTCCATCATCCAGGTCATTGACAAATAAGTTGAACAGGACTGGACTCAGTGTAGATCCCTGGGGGACAATGCTGGCTACAGGCCTCCAACTAGTCTCTGTTCCACTAAGCACGACCCTCTGATCTCTGCCATCCAGCCAGCTCACAACCCATCTCACCGACCACTCTTCCATCTCATACATCCTGTAATTCCTATGAGCTTGCCTATGAGGATGTTATGGGAGACAGTGTTGAAAGCCTTGCTAAAGTCAAAGTAGACAACATCTTCTGCTCTCCCCTCACCCACTCAGCTAGTCATTCCATCATAGAAGCCTATCAAGTTGGTGAAGCATGGTTTCCCTTGGTGAACCCATGCTGACTACTCCTGATCACCTTTTTCTGTTCCACAGGCTGGAGATGACCTCCAGGATGAGCTGTTCCATTGCCTTTCCAGGGACGGAGGCGAGGCTGACCGGCCTGTAGTTGCCTGGGTCCTCCTTCTTGCCCTTGTTGAAGACTGACATGACATGAGCTTTCTTCCAGTCTTCAGGCAGCTCTTCTGTTCTCCATGACCTTTCAAAAATGATGGAGAGTGGGCCAGCAGCAACATCCGCCAGATCCCTTAGCACTCATGAATGTATCCCATCGGGGTGCATGGATTTGTGGCTGTCAAGTTTTCCTAAGACATCTCTGGCCTGATCCTCTTCAACCAATGGACAGTCCTCGTTTCTCCAGATTTCCTCCCTTGTTCCTAATGCCAGAGATTCTGGAGGGCTGCTCTTAGCAGTGAAGACTGAATCAAAGAAGACATTCAGTAATTCTGCCTTCTCCGTATCCTTTGTCATGAGGACACCCACCTCATTAAGCAGTGGGCCCACATTTTCCTTCCTCTTCCTTCTGCTCTTGATATATTTGAAAAGGACCTTTTCTCGGACAATGTCCCTATATTCTTCCCAAGTGGCTTGTCCCCTTTTCCACTTTATGTGTACTTCCTTCTTCCATTTAAGTCACTCATGGATCTCCTTGATCATCCAAGCAGGTCTCCCGCTCCCTTTGTCTGACATTTTGCTCACAGGAATACAAAGCTCTTGAGCTTGGAGGACTTGCAGGTCAGTGCACTATTGCTGCCGGTGCACCGTTGTGGCAGCCATCAGTGCCTGCTCTTCAACTCTCAACAACCCCACAACAGAAGGGTCCTGTGTGAGACCAGGCAAGGTAGACAACTATTTGGCATTCTCTGTATTCACGGCAGTTATGCCAACAGCCCTCTGGTACCCTTTTGTTTACTTGTTTGTCCCTGAAATAAGCCAGAAACACAGTCTGGAGACATGTCGTTAGGGTTACCCAATGATGTTCACATTACTCAAGAGTTATCATGACTGGCCCGAAAGAAAGAAGGGGAAGGTGCCATGCATTGTTCCCTCCACAAAGTGGATTCATGAGCGTTGTACCAATAGCACCTCAAATAATATTTATTGGTGCAGATTTAGGGAAAGCATCACAAGCCCATATTTGCTTTCCTAGTGGTAACTTAGTAGTTTCTTGCAATGTGTAGTTGCTTTACAGGGAAGAATTTGTAGCAATCTGTAATACAGACATTCATGAAAACAGAGCAATGAGGTGTCCGCGTCCTTGTGAACTATGGAATCCTACCAATATACTGCTGTGATCCATGGGCGAGCTGACCCTCCCAGGTCCTAACCATTGATATTTTGGTGCCCTTGGAGAGGTCCTCAGAGCTGCAGGAGCAACCACGGACCTGGGGCTTGGTGACAGCCCTTTGCTGCAGAGAACAGACCCAATGACAAAGGATGGACACTTCAGATTCCCCTGTGCCATGAAACTGGCTTTTTTTCTGCTCAGGTCTGCTGCCCCCTCGCACACAGCCAGGCCTGTGGCTCATCTCCATGTAGAGGACGAGGAGTCAAAGCTCTGCTGGTGCCCAGCTAAGAGAGAAATACTCCACCTGTGGAAGGGCAGGGCTGGCACGCACTTCTTTCTCTTATTCCCCACCCAGGGAGCCTTGAGACCACGGGTCAGTGCCTGTACTGCCCACAGGTGCCTGCAGTCTTGTATCCTCAAGATCCATCTTCTGTATGTAACATTTTTACTTTTTTTTTTTTTTTTTTTTTTCCCTCGCAGTCTGGGACCAGCATTAGTTGACCTGGTACCTGGCAGTGAAAGGCTGTGTCTCACACTATTTTGATTTAAGCCAGCTGGCAGCTAAACACCACACAGCCTTTCAGTCACCCTCCCAGCGCCCTCTCTGGGATGGTGGAGAGAAACAGGAAAATGAAGCCTGTGGTTTGAGACAGAAACAATTATTAGAACAGAAAAAAAAAAAAGATAATAGTACTACTACTAATAATGTGTACAAAACAAGTGATGTGCAATGAAATTGCTCACTGATTGAAATTGCTGACCGAATGAAATTGCTGACTGATGCCCAGTGGCCATGCCCCTGACCCCGGCTAGACACCCCTATCTACTGTTTAGCATGACGTCAGATGGTATGGAATACCCCTTTGGGCAGTTTGGGTCAGCTGTCCTGGGTCTGTCCCCTCCCAGCTCCTGCTGCACCCCCAGCCTGCCCACTGGCAGGACAGAGCGAGAAGCTGAAAAGTTCTTGGCTTAGTGTAAGCACTGCTCTGCAACAATTAAAACATCAGTGTGTTATCCACATCATTCTAATCTTAAATCCCAAACACACCACCCTACCAGTTGCTAGGAGGAAAATTAACTCTATCCTAGCTGAAACCAGGACAAGTGAGCAGCTCCTTGGGTGTATTCCTGACACCAGCTTTGCAAGAAGCAGAGATGTGGCAGAGATGCCACTGCAGAGACAGCTTTCACCAAGGTACACGAGACCTAAGGGCTTAGTCAAGTACAAGAGCTCAAGAGAACAACATAGAAGCCAAAAGAGAACAACAGTGAAAAGGCCACATCCTGCTGCTGGCCATGGCTCCAGGGAAGCAGCAGCCCCAACCTGAAGGCGGCAGAAAGGCAGAGCCCAGCGGGCAGTGAGGGGCAGTCTCAAGGTCCACTGGGGCTGCTCCTCTGTGTGGGAGCAGCTCCAGAGGAGATGGGAAGAGATAGCATCTGAGACCAATGAAGTTCTCGTGGAATCTTTATTCTCCTTATCCAAACAGGAAGCCAAGTTCTGCAGGTATATAGGATGATTTGGTGAAAGAAAATAAATTAAAAAAAATAAAATAGACAGAATGCCATGAACAGAATTCAACCAAAATCACAATTTTAAGAGATAATATTAATAATAATAAAAGAATTGCAAGCTATTGTACAAAGAGATTGTTCAGATAACCTCTGCATCCATTTAATATTATAGGCACACTATTGATGCCAAAGAAGCATGTATCCAATGAGTTTCCACAAGGCGTGCTTGAGCTCCTGGTTCCTCATGCTGTAGATGAGGGGGTTCACTGCTGGAGGCACCACCGAGTACAGAAATGACACCACCATGTCAAGGGATGGGGAAGAGATGGAGGGGGGCTTCAGGTAGGCAACCAAGGCAGTGCTGAGAGTTAGAGAGACCACAGCTAGGTGAGGGAGGCATGTGGAAAAGGCTTTGTGCTGGTCCTGCTCAGAGGGCATCCTCAGCACAGCCCTGAAGATCTGCACATAAGAAAATGAAATGAAAACAAAACACGCAAATGCTAAACAGAAACTAACTACAAGAAGCGCAGCCTCCCTGAGGTAGGCATCTGAGCAGGAGAGCTTGAGGATGTGGGGGATTTCACAGAAGAACTGGTCCAAAACATTGCCTCGGCAGAGGGGCAGGGAAAATGTATTGGCCGTGTGCAGGACACTGTACAGAAAGCCACTGCCCCAGGCAGCTGCTGCCATCTGGGCACAAGCTCTGCTGCCCAGGAGGCTCCCATAGTGCAGGGGCTTGCAGATGGCAACGTAGCGGTCATAGGCCATGACGGTGAGAAGGGAAAACTCTGCATCAAAAAAAAAGACTAAAAAAAGTACTTGGACAGCACACCCTTGATAGGAGATGGCCCTGGTGTCCCAGAGGGCATTGGCCATGGCTTTGGGCAGAGTGGTAGAGATGCAGCCCAGGTCGAGGAGGGCGAGGTTGAGCAGGAAGAAGTACATGGGGGTGTGGAGGCGGTGGTGGCAGGCTACGGCGCTGAGGATGAGGCCGTTGCCCAGGAGGGCAGCCAGGTAGATGCCCAGGAAGAGCGCGAAGTGCAGGAGCTGCAGCTCGTGCGTGTCTGCGAATGCCAGCAGCAGGAACTCCCTCACAGAGCTGATGTTGGGCATTCTCTGACTTTCTACTTGCTTCTCTGTTGAAGAGGAGAAGGCAGAGCAATGTTAGAACAGACTTCTCTGAGGAAAACAGGAAATAAAACAGAAGCGTGGATAACTCAAAGTCAGAAAACTCTCAGACCAATGAGCTTTGCAGTATTGTTGCAAACAACTGAGCTGATTGTGGAGCAAAGCTGCAACTATTTTCCTCACTTTATTTTATCCTAGTTGCCCGTATAACACATAGGAGAGGTATTGAATGGTGGAACTCCCTGACATTACTTCCACGCTCCAGGTGATATCCTGTGGGTGCCAAGAGGCAAAGGACTTGTCCTCTGGGGTAGATTGAGCAGAGCAGCTCTGCCCATCAGTCCTGCTCTCTGCTGCCCTGGGCTACCCCTCTATGAGCTACAGGACCATCCTTCTCGGGTGCTGCTCTGAGAAGAAACAGGAGACAGCTGAGAGCAGAGAAGCCCCACTCCAAGTGCAGCTGAACAGAATCTTCACCTTTTCTCCAGGGGACTGATCAGGATCTCAGCTCTTCCCTCCTACACAGGTCTCATTGCTGCTGCCCACAGACAGCCATCCAGCAGCATGGACATGATGTTAGTATGGAGGTATCTTCTCCTTGGGCACCTGGATAACACAAGGATGCCAAAGGAGAGCTGCATCCCACAGGAGAGCAGCCTGCAGCCCATGAGGAAACCCACAGACAGAGCTGGATATCTGAAAGCTGGAGTGTCCCATATCCCAGCTGCACCCTCTGCAGGGTCTGGAGGAGGCTTGTCCACCACTGTCTTATCTGACCAGGGGTAGCGAGGTTATGACACTCCAAGGGGCTTCTGCCAGACTTCCTCACCTCGCAGGGCAACCCAGCAGGACTCTCAAAGCCTACTGCATTGCCCACTGCCCTCCCACAAACAAGACCCAGCAGGAGGAGACCCTTCCAAGACCTGCAGCTGCATGGCCCTGCAGCCAGACCCTTCCCTTGTCAAGGGCTTTGCAGGTTTCTCCTGCAGGCAGCTCTCAGCAGTATCCCACTGCCAAGTGCCTCCAAGCCCTCTCTCCTTCTCTGCTCTCCCCATGCCAGCTGTGGTCAGAGCCCCCAGCCCTGCTGCGCTGTGCAGAGGAGCTGCTCCTGGGCACAGCTGGCTCTCTGCTTCATGGGACTTTCTGAAATGTGTTTTCTCTGTCCCACGAGCCTGGCCCAGCTCAGCAGCACAGGCCCACCCGAAGGCATTGGAATCACCCCTCTGGGGTTTTGCTGATGAACCCAATCACAAACCTCAGGCACTCAGAGACAATTGAAGACATCTCTCCAGAAGTCCAAGTCAGAGGCAAGTTTCCTGCAGTGTTCCCCTGAGGGCCAGCACTGACACAGCCTCCCTTGGAGCTCATTAGAGCAGAACCCTGGAGGCAGTGAGGACAAGGAGACAAAGGCAATGTGAAGGTGACACTGAGGTGTAGACAAACTGGGTGTGTGTCACCAAGAACAAGGGCCAGGCCTTGACCTCCAGCCTGTAGGAAGGGAAACCTTTCCCTTCACACCTTGCTCAGGGCTCTTTGTGGGGCAGTAGGAGACGGGGATATGCATGGCCAAGTGCAGGAGAATGGTATGACCCCTGCCTGCTTCATGGGTGGGGGTGAGGAGGCAATGAGGCCCTGGTGTTTTAACAATATATCTCCTCATCAGCTTTAGTGGCTTAGAAGACAGCAGCCATAGCCATGGACACAAAGACTTTGGTTCTCTTGGGACTTTCAGCCTTTCCAGTGTCCTTGCTCTTCTATGTCCTAGGAAATCCCAGTCCTGTACCTGTCTCCCCGTTCCTGTAGACCATTGTGTTTGTGGTGTCTCACTGGATCTGAGCTGAGTATGATAACTCAGATTTTCTTGGTGGCCATGCTCCTCATAAGGCAGCTCTGTAGGAAGCTGGCCTGGTTCCTGGTGAGCAGGATCTACTACTTGTACAGCATCCCTCATGGAGGGTATTCACAAGTTGGATGGGATATAGCCGAGGGTACTGAGGGAGCTTGCAGAAGTGCTCAACCAAGCTGCCTTCCATCATTTATCAGCAGTCCTGGCTATCAGTCAACTGGTGACTAGCAAATGTGATGCTCACCTACAAAATGGCTGGAAGGAGGATCGTGGAACTACAAGCCTGTCAGTCTGAACTCGGTCCTGGGGAAGCTCTTGGAGCAGATTATCTTGAATTCCATCACACAACGCTTCCAGAACAACCAGGTGATCAGGCCCAGTCAGCATGGGTTTGTCAAAGGTAGGTCCCGCTTGGCAAATCAGATCTCAAGGTGTGACAAGGCGATGCTCGCAGTGGGTGAGCGAAAGGCTGTGCATGTGGTCTATCTAGACCGCAGTAAGGCTTTTCCATCTTTTCCCACAACATTGTCCAGAGAAACTGGCTGCTCAAGGCTTGGATGGGTGTACGCTTTGTAGGGTTAAAAACTGGCCCAAAGTCATGGTAAATGCAAATAAATGCAGATGGAGGCCTGTCCTTAGTGTCCCCCAGGGCCCAGTACTGTGGCCAGGTCTCTTCAATATCTCCACCAATGATGTGGATGAGGGGATCGAGAGCACCCTCAGCAAGTTTGCAGATGACAACAAGTCTGGAGTGAACGTTGATCTGTTAGGAAGGCTTGTGAGGCCACAGCTCAAGTTCTGTGTTCAGCTCTGGGGCCCCAATAAGGATGTGTATCAGAAGGAGTCCAGAGGAGGGCCAGGAGGACAATCAATGGGCTGCAGCACTTTTCCTAGGAACGTGCTGAGGAAGATGGTTTTGTTCGGCCTGGACAAGAGAAGGCTCTGGGGAGACCTTAAAGAGCCCTTCCAGTACCAACAGGGGGCATAGAGGACAGGTGGGGAGGGTGTCATGATAGGAGTAGCAGTAATGGTTTTAAACTGAAAGAAGGTAGATTTAGATTAGCTATTAGAAAGAAGTTCTTGACTTAGAGGGTGGTAAGGCAGCGGAACAGGCTGCCCAGGGAAGCTGTGGATGCCCTATCCCTGGAAGTATTCAAGGCTAGTTTGGATGGGGCTTTGAGCAGCCTGGGCTAGTGGAAGCCGACTCGATGGTGGGGCAGAGTGAGAAGCAGAGAAGGCCTTGATGCTGTGCAAACACTGCACAGGAACAGCGACTACATCCGTGGGTGACCAACATTTCTCTGGTCACATATCAAAAACACAGTACCGCAGGGGCTGCTCTGGAGAGGAACTCTGTCCCAGCCAGAATCAGTGTCCCCAGAATGGACAAGAAGCTCTGGAATGAGCCAGGAAGGTGTTAATAAGCACCAGGACAATTGAGGAAGCCCAAAGGCCCTTCTGAAGGGTCACTGAGTGCCACCTGAGAGGCAGTGATGGGCAGTGGGGAGGGCCAGGACAAAGACTTGGGTGAAGGTTTTGAGGAATAGGAAATTCAGGGTTTTAGCAGCTGTCTAGGGGTGGAGTAGGAGGACGAGGTCACTCCTGTTACTAGGACAGCGCTGAAGGTCCCTGAGTGAATCTGGTCTGATAGAGAACTGTTCACCTTGCATGCTGCCTCAGCCTGGGAGCAGGGGCCTGTCCACAGTGCGGGATGGCTGGGCTGTGCTCAGCCATGCCCCAGGAGATGACCTTGCTCTCTTCCTCCCCACCACTCCCCACACAGGACAGGCCTTCAGCAAACACCCCTGAGCCTGGAGATGCACCAACCTGCTGCGGTGAGGTGCCACTACTGCAGGGGAAGAAGAAAGGGTTGGAGAGACACATGGGGCCTGTGGGCATGAGTGGTGTGGCCTGGGGAAGTGAATGCCTGGGAAAAGTTACCCTGGAGCCATAGGAGCCATTCTGGACAGAAAACTTGTAGGCAGGAACTGCACTTTTGTGGCACTGCAGAGCTGCTGGGTACATTGTGCAGGGTGCTCTGATGGACATTTGTGTCCTTTTGCATCGTGTCTTAAGTGCCACTTTTCTCTGAAATAGAGTAGCCAACAGAGATGTGATGGATACTCTAAGATCATGAAAGCCATCAGAAAGCTGATACCAATGAGATAACTGAGATGGAGGGATCAGGAGAAGCATGGACAGGAGAAATGTGAGATTTGGGGGAGGGAATAGGGGCTTGGCCAGCAGAAATCAAGGATTTTGTAGAGGTAAGAGGGTTCAGGTTCTGCTGATACTGCTGTAGCAGTGACGTAAAACAGTTATATGAGGCTATTCCCCGGCTTCAACCTGTAAACTTAATTCCTACACCTAAATGCTACTCAACACCCTGACAGGAATCCACTACTCTAATGACTGACCTCAACGTATCCCTAGAAGACAAAAGTCAGCCCATAGTCACTTCCCCTAGCTCTTACTCTCTTAATCAATCTGATTTCTGCTCTTAATACAAGAACTAAAATGGTCTATTTAACACTAGAAATCTGCTTAAGAGACCTAAACAAAACCCTAACTCCAAATGAATGTGAGGGGCCATGGATCTTATAAGCTTGTGGGCCACAAGGAGGAGAAGGGTGGGAATGCTCTGATGAGCTCTGCTCTGCCTCAGAATCTCCTGCCCCAGCAGGAGGAATGTGACTGTGGCAGGGACTGTGAGGTCACTTCTGTCTCTGCACTTGATAGGGCAGCAGCAGGAATGTGT